TCATACAATTAAACCAATTGAAAATGACCTGGGGACACAAGTTTGTCCTGTTGAAAACTTTTATGAGATAATCTGTGTCACACATCAAGCAACTGGCATGCTAGTCATGATAAAACATGGAGAAAGGTTTTTATTTATTATTATTATTAGTAGTATTATTAATTATCTATCTATTATTTATTTAATTTTTTTATTAAATTTTACATACAAATAAAAATATTCGAATGTGGTATTGTTATATTCTACAAAAGATTGTTAAAGATGCTGTTCGTGAATATGAAGTTTGTATTACTAGACGAGCCTTTATAAAGATTCTACCTATTCGGCCAATAGTTTCTGAAGGATTTTTGTATCACATGCAGGTAAACATTAATTGTATTTTTTTTTTTTTAATTAATTAAAAAATTTTATTTACAGATTGATACTATTAATATAACATCAACACCAGATAGAATATACAAATATATATTTCATATTAGAGAACATTTTTTTAGATTTTCATATGCAGAACCTTTACAATCTAAGGAAGCCGTAGAAGCTGCAACCTGTTTATTCAATTTCTGTATGATATATGGTCCACCTATAGTATTATATTCTGATAATGGTGGTGAGTTTATTGCAAAAATAATTAAGGAGACATTAAACTTTTGGTCTATTATCAAATTCATTTATAGTAAACCAAGAAATCTGCATTGTCAAGGAATAGTAGAAAAAGAGAATGGAATTTTTTAATCCAAATTAGAAGCTGAATGGAAGAGACAAATTGAAGCAATTTGAGTATTGGATTAAAGTTTATTATTTGTATATTTTTTATTTATTTTTTTTTTAATTTTTTTTAAGTTTATTTTATTTATTTAAATTTTTTTTAATATATTTTTTGTTTACAATTCTTATTAAAGTAATTTTGATTTGTTTGTTTAAATATAATGCATCATATTATAACTTTATTTTATATATAATATTTATACTAATCATGTTATAGTAAATTAATTATTAATTTTTAAGTTTTTTTTTATTTAATTTTTATTTATTTTTATTTAATTTTATTTAATTAGTAATATTGTTTTAATATAATAATTTTTTAGGAGCCATGAACAGTTAGTATTGTATAGCATATAAATCAATTTTTTATTAATTAGTATTCGAACAGCTTCTATATTGTAATACGAATTTAATTAACATATTAAAAAATGAAGAGTTATCAAATAATTATACTCTAATATCAGAAAATTCTTAATTGATTATTCTGAAATTAGCAATAAAATGGTTAAATCAAAACTTGATAAAAAATATTTTAAGAAATCTCAAGAGTTTAATGATGATATAGAGCAAGTTGAGGATAATTATAACAATGTTGATGAATATAAAATACAAGAAATCAATAGTGCAAATGAAATACAAAAAGCTAATAGTTATCTTGAAGAAGTAAAAGATCATGATTATGATATATTACAAGAGTTTTATGATGATTTTATACCATTGCTATATGATTCTAAAATTAGAGAATGTTCTAAAAACATATTAGCTTTAGAAATTATTGAAATTATAGACTTAGATGATGATATAAATAAAGGTCAATGTTATAAATTTTTAGAAAAAAGAAAAATAGCCATTTCAAAGTAAAAATATTAAGATTAATTATATTAATTATTTGTTTTAAAATAAATAAATAAATTAAATAAAAATAAATTAAAAAAAATAAAATAATACAAAAAAAAAAATTAAAAAAAACAATAAAAATGTATATTTGTATACTAATAATTAAAAAAAATTTTCTGTAACTATCAACCAGTACAAATTTGACTTGTTTATTATTTGAACAACATAGATCAGTTTGACAATCAGCAATTTTAAATATAAAAAGAAATCAGAAAGTTATATGAAGTAGAATGAAAGAAAAATACAAAGTTAACATAAATGAAAATTTGAACTTAGTAAATTTGTTAAAATTTACATACCTGATTTTGACAAAAATAAAATAGGTTAAAAATCCTTATCATATTAAGTGCTTCAAAAAAAGCTTAATATTAATTCATTTCAAGTTGCTTGCCAGTATAGAATACTTGAAAATTGGTATCTGGTAAATGAAATTGAACTACTTAAAACCTTCAATTATCCTTCTCTTAATGTTGTTTTATTAAACAAAAATATTTCATTAAGGCAAGCAAATTTTAAACAAAATAATAAATAAATAATTAAATTAATTTTCAAATTAAAATAATAATGCTAATATTTTGGTTAAGTAAGTAAATAATTTAATACATAATTATAATTATACAATAATAAACTAATAAATAATAATTATTTAGTGATAATCAATTAAAAAAAGCATCTCAAAGTCATTGCTCAAATTGTTGCTATTGCCAAAAAACAAACTGTTCTTCTAATGCTTGTTCCTGTTAAAAAAGTAACATATTATATACATGGCAATGTGAATGTGTTTTATGTAATAAATATAAAAATCAATAAGAATTTTTCTTAAACTTAAATTATGTGAAAGTTTTATTGTAAATTTTTATTAATTATATAAATTCATTTGTATTGCAAATTTTTTATTAATTATATGAATTTCTTATTATTTATTTGGTATTTTTTATTGATTATGCAATTTATTATTTAAAGTAAGTTTTTTCTAATATAGTTAAAGTTTATTATAAAATGATTTTATTTTTTGTAATTTCTATAAATAAATTTTATTTTTTTTTCATGCAAAAGAGCTTTAATAATATAAATAATATTATTGCTCAAGTTATATTATTTATTGTTATAGTAAATAGTTTTTAGTTTCTTAAAATTTTTACCAATTGTGAAATGACCTAGGTTATTTCTAAATTTAAGAATAATCTAGGTCAATTCAGAATTGACCTAAATTATAAATGACTCAGAACATTAATATATTTTTATGCTTGTCTGTATAACTTTATTTGGATAAATTGGACTTTGTTGTCCTTTTCTCTTGATTTAGTTAAATAAGACTTGTTGTTTTAATGATTTATATTTTTAATACTTTTTATATCAGTATAGGTGTTTCATCTTTGTTAATTTATTTAATTTCATTTTTATTTATTTGGTAGTTATAATGGTTTGCACTATTAATACCTTGAAATTGAATCTTAAATAGGATAATCTATCCTGTGACTTTATTATGGAATTTTTATATTTGTATTAGGAACAGAGTATATGAGGCTTTTCTGCCTATATGCAACTTGATTTTTCCTAATTACATATAAGACTTCTTTATCTATTTAACAGTAATATAATTATTATGCAAACAATTCTAAATGCCTATTTCATACTGTAGTTATTATTGTAATCATAATTCAGAGTATTGCAATCTGAGTTCTTAAAAGCCATGATCAAAATTTAAATAAAGTTAGCAATATTGATAAAATATTATATACAGTTAAATAAATTCTCAAATAGATTGTAACTACAATTTGTTTGTCTCTTATTTTGTGTATACTGTACCTATAGCTATGAAGAACAATAACTAGTATGCCTCTTCTGCCATAGAGCAACCTACTCAGGCTTTATGAATATAGGCTGGCTAATATATGTTTTTTTTTATGAATTATTAACATTATTACTATTATTTCAATTATTACTAGCAGTTATCTTGACTGACCACCTAATTATTGTGACTGATGTTTAAACAGGTTCCAATTAGAAAACACCTGCAAAACTATAAAACCTACCTACTCTTGCTTTGATCATATATGACTGCCATTTCAGCAGGCCAATTTACTTAAATAATGTTTAAAACATGAGGTCAATATAACCAGAATGAAAGTTAGGTTCACAGAAAAGACAAAATTACCTTTCAATACTTTTACAAATTTATCCTTATATACTACATTTCAATTACCTTATAATTACTCAAATATCTTAAACTCACAAAAGCACTAATCATATAGATCATACTCTCATCAATAACTGCATTACTAATTACTTAAATTACCTCATTCTTACCAAATAACCAATAACCACATTATTAACTAACTAAATTACCTCATAGTTTCGTTCATTATATCAATTGTTGATTGAATATGTAATCATAATTGGGCCTATCATATGCTCGATCAAGTATCACATGCTTCAAGACAAAAGCTGCTCTAATACTATGTATCAAGCAGCTCTTATTTGAATTTGCAGAATTATTATTTTAAAGCATTGATACAATTATATTTTATAAAAAAGTTGTTAGACCTGAAACATATGGCTTATAGGTAGTGATAGGCAAATTAAAGATTTTAAAAAACTCACATAAGATTTATAGAATATATTAAAGTTTTTTAATTTTTTATAAATTATAAAAATATATATAAAGATAATTAGTAAAATATAATTTTTTGTTAAAATAATATATTTTAAATACATTTAGCATTTAAAAAATAATGCTAAATCAGTTTATTAACACTTATATTATAATAATATTGTTTAAATAATGACTTAATAATGGTTATATTTATTATAACAAGAAATAGTAAGTAAGAACTACCAATAGCAAAAAAAAAATTAATCAAGTATATATATAAATATATAAAATGATAAACAATAAAATTTTTATGTAAAAATGCAGACCGGGGTAAAACAGCCATCTAAAAAAGTTTTAAACATCATATGACAAATATATTAAGACTAAAAATTTATGTAAAAAATCATATTTCACCAATTTAAATTTTGTAATAATAAATAATACATTTATTGAGTTATTTAAAATAAATAAAATAGTAAATTTATTACTTTTAATTTTTTTTGTTTGTATTTTTTTGTTAAGTTATATTGATTTTAGTATTTAATATATTTGTTACATGATGTTCAAAATTATTTGGATGGCAATTTTACTTCAATTTTAAAAATTGGCCCATTAATATTAATGCAAGTTAGATAATATTTAATATAACCAGATAATATTTAATGCAGATCAAATAATATGCTAATGTAGGCCAAATAATCTACTATTAAATATTCTACAAGGAATCCAAAAAAAACAGGCATCCTACATATGGCCCATCTTTACTTATGAATAACTGATTTTATTGTGAAAATTTTTACTAAAATTGGATTAACTATGATTATATAATGCTAATAATAATTATAATATATATATTGTATATATTGATTATGTCATATATTGAAATAGAATTATTATAGATTTTGAATATATCTAAATAAATTCTAAATGCACATAAAATTCTAAATTATAATTAAGTAATTAAAGAATTTAGATTTAACTTAAAGCAAAATAAAATAAATTCTTAATTAATTTATCAAATATGTTATTTTAGTATATAAGTAGTTTTAAGATAATGTTTAATTTATGTTGCATTGCATAATATAGTTTTAAAAATAGTATGTTTTTATATTTTAAAAACATTACATATTTTTATATTAATAACTACTAAGATAATAACTATTTTCATACAATAAATTTATTTTTTTACATCTGCAGTAATTTTTTTAAATAGTGTTTTTAAAATTATATTTTATAAACCTACTTGTAATAATAATTGCATAATATATATTTCTTAAACACTTAGAAAAGTTAAAAAATATTATTTATTTCTAGGAATTTAACTGAACCTAAAAAATGTAATTCATTAACAATAAATGTAATTTTGATAATGTCTAACTTATATTCAATTTTATATATATTATTTTCAGAATCTTAAGAATCTTATAAAGAAGAATTTTTTAATTATTATAAATTTTATTAATTTTAAAAATTTTTATGCTATCAAATTTTAATATAATATTTATTAACAAATCTTTATTATAATTGTTTAGTTATACTTCAAAATATTATAATATCTTTTGAGTAACATTATAATTATATTTTGATAAAGTTTATATCTGAATATTTGTTTATTATTTGTCTTATTCTAAAGAGTAAATCTGAATTTTCACTTAAAAAAAAATCAAAAATAAATAAATTTTATTATTAAAATTAAATTAAATTTTAATTTATTAAAATAATAAATATTATCTGAATATTAGTAATAAATAGTTTGTTTTTTAGTTTATCAAATTTCAAAATTATTTACTTCAGATAACTTTATTTATTTTATAAAATTTTATTATTATAATTATTTTTTTTTATAATAATTAATACTTATTACTATTGTTTTATTTATTATTTTATTTAATTTTGTATGTTCTATTTTTTTATTTATATATTTATTTGTCCTTTTATTTTATTTTTTTTACTTTATTATTCATTATTCTTTTTATTCTTTTTTTCATAATATTATCTAATCTTATATTCATTTCTATAATTTTACTAACTGTATTTATCTTTTATTGCTTATTTTTTTATTATTTAACTTTTTATTACTATTTTTTTATTGTTCATTTTTTCATTACTTATATTTTTTTTATTTTTTTATTTTTTTTTCAAATCTAAAGAGTAACATTTTATAACTTATAATTTTTTATTAAAACTTACAATCTACAAATATTATAGGAAGTATTACATTTTATATATTAATAAGGCTACAATTAATCACTTATACAACTTTAATCATTGTCTATTTAAAGGTTCTGTCTACAGGTTATTTACTAATTACTATGTTTATAGATTCTTATTTAAAGTTTCTAATTTTTAATATTTTTCATTAGTATCAACTTAATTTTTTAATAATAGATCTTAGAGTTAATTTACTCTTAATGTAAACTTACCAAATGAAAATAGATCCTATAACTACATCTATTTAAATTTATAATGCCAAAGTGATTTCATATTAGGTAAGACCAATCCTTTCCACAAACATTAATAATATTCTCTATATATTCCACTATGGTAGTGTCTATACTCTGTTATACTGCTTCTTTTTAAGAATTTCTTAAATCAAATATGTACCTTTACTTGAACTTTTATAAAGTTTTATATTTAATTCTAGGTTCCATTTTTGGTTATAAACTATTTTACTTCTAGCCAAATTCAAACTATTAACCTTGTTTGTAAAAAGGTAAGATTTAACAACTAAGCTATAAAATTCAACTTTTTTTATATTTTTTTTATTTAGTCTCTTATTATTCAATTTTTTATTATTTAGTTTTTTATTACCTATTTATTTATTATCTAGTCATTTGTTACTAAATCATTTATTGCTCAGCCTTTTATTTTTAAATATTTATTGTCTAACCTTTTATTGTATATCTTTTTATAATATAACTATTTATAGGAGTTAGATCTCATAGCTTACTTGTTAAGCTCTTATCACCCTGCAGACAAGGTTAACAGTTCGAGTCTGACTGAAAGTAAAATACTCTATAACCAAAAATAGAGCCTGTAATCAAATGTGAAATCCTGTGGAAGTCCAAATGAAAGTACATATTTGATCTAAAAAATTCTTAAAAGGAAACCAGTATAGCAGAGCACAGACACTACTATAGTAAGAAATATAAAAAATGTCATCAACATTTGTGAAAAGGATTGGCTTTAACTAATATAAAATCACCTCTGGCACTATAAATCCAAATAGGTATAGTTGTAGGATCTACTTTTATATAATAGAGTTTGCATCGAAGGTAAAGTAGCACTAAGGTCTATTATTAAAAAAATTAAGTTGGTATTACAAAAAAATATTAAAAATTAGAGACTTTAAATAGAAAACCCATAGGCAGGTTTCAGGTATAGCAATTAGTAGATAACTTATAGGTAGAATCTTTAAATAGACAATGACTAAAGTTGTATAAGTGACTAATTGTAGCCTTATTGATATGCAAAATGTAATATTTTTCTACAATATATATAGGTTGTAAGTCTTAATAAAAGATCATGAGCTATAGACATTGCTCTTTAAATCTAAAAAAAAAGATAATATAATTATTTATAACTAATTATTTTGCTTACTAAATCTTCATATATAAACTTTATTAATTATTGTTTTTAAAATTGGTTCTATTTAAATAGAAAAAAAAATAAATAAACAACTACATATTATATAAAAAGTTTATTTTTAAATTTAAAGCTGTAGTTATTAAAAATAATTATATAATTTTTTATTGATCAAAATCATTTTAGAATTTAAAAAATTCAATTTAATTTTTGTATAATTTATTTTCTAAATTTATATTTTATAATTTAATTACTTTCAGCAATATAAAAATAATACAAAGAATTTTGTTCAAATAATAATACATATAGACTATTTTTAGGTGATCATAATATTTGTATTTTTATAGCATTTAATAAAAATAATAATAATAAAAAAATAATTAAAAAATCAAATTAACTTGTCAAAATTAAAATATTTACAATAATATAAAGATATCATATATGACTAATCTTTTTTTTATATGTTTTCTATTTACTTAGATATCTTTTGTTAAAGTATATTATTCATAAATTTTACAAGTTTTGACTTTGTAAGTATTTTGAACATTTATTAATAATATGAAAATCTAATTATATAGATAGTAATTTATAGATTACTTCTGTTATAAACTTCTGACTATTATTAATCTAAAGAATAATTAGAACACAAAACAAATAAAAACATTAAAAAGAAAATTTGTTATTTTAATTAGTCATTTACTAGTCAATATGTAAGCTTAAAAATACTAGATATAGTAATTCTATATATAATAAATATAATAGTAATTACTATTAGAAATACTGATCATAAATATTAGGTTAACTTAAATTTATTAAAAAAAATATTAAATTTAATTAGCTTTGCTACTACTAAATTTGAAAAGTTTTTTTATATTATATACACTATACAATTTTATACAAATTTTTTTATAAAGGATTATAAAATATAACAACACTGTTTTAAAATCTATTAAAAATTTAAATTAATATCATATTTATTTTTATATTTTTTATAATCTATTATATTTTTATTAATTTATATTGCTTCTCAAAGTTTCACTAAATAGATATGCTTTAAATCTCTAATACAAGTTATATAACATTTTATATATTTTGTTAACAAGACATACTAATAAATTAGAATCAAATTTAATAAATAGTATAATTTAATTAGTTGGTATTCCAAGAATATGTAAATTAAATATTTTTGGCTCAATACTAGTCTTTTGCAATTCCAATTATTATATTTGTTAGATTTTATAAAATTCTAATATATAAATCAAAATCTTTATATGTAATAAAGTTTTATATCTTCTATTTATTGATTTGCTGTTAAGATATTTGGCAAACAAATCTTCAAATATAATATGTGATAAAAATAAATAATCTTGAGGTTAGACATTATATAATTGTTATAAAGAAAAATAAATTAAACAAAAAAATAATTA